GAGAACGACTTGTTAAGTTATGATGTTAGTTGCATTTCGGAGGTTAGTCCTTCAATGCGTATAGCAAGCTATTAGTCTGGCAATGTTGTGTGTGAATGTCGTGGTTTCCCACGTTTACGGTTCCACTCGTGTAACGTTATGTAGCGGTTTTTAAGTTGTTTTCAGACGAGTGTATACCAAACCGGGCAAGCAGAAAATTCTACTTGACCGCGGCTGGGATTCGAACCGGCGACCTTCGCATTTCTAGAACGATGCTCTACCTTCTGAGCTACAAGGTCAAGCTGAGAACGACTTGTTAAGTTATGATGTTAGTTGCATTTCGGAGGTTAGTCCTTCAATGCGTATAGCCAGCTATTAGTCTGGCAATGTTGTGTGTTTATGTTGTGTGTCTATGCATTTCACCTGAAATGCATACACAAAATTTAACATTAAAAATTTATCGAAATCCAACACAAAATCTCCAAAAGTTACAAATATCCAATACAAAAACTGCAAAAGTACCTTATCTAAAAATGTCGTAAGAATAATGTAAGCCTAAATAGTATGTTGGAAAAATATAAATATCCAAAGATTTATCTTTTTCCGAAGTAGCAACAGGTGACATTTCAATAACAATACATGAAGTCGTCCAAGCCACGCCCAACCGAATTAAATTCGACACATGCAAAATGGACCGTCCAAAACCACATCAACTTAAACGAAATCGCCAATTTAACGTTATTATTATTATTATTATTATTATTGTTATTATTATTATTATTATTATTATTATTATTATTATCATTTAAACATATTTATCCACGGTAGCCTTTCAGTTGCCTGTTTTTCAAAGGGCCGTGGTCTAAAACTATTAAAAAGATATAAAACTAAATCTAAACCTAAAGTATAACACACTAACATTAATTCAAATTGAAGTATAACATGCATAACGACCTTACAATGCAAATAAACATTCGATAAAATTTCGGGAAAATTTCGCTATCTTAGCAATTTTTAATAAGCCTTTTGAACTGATTCAATGAAAGATGCTCATGTTCCTCGAGAATTTCGTTTGGAAGTTTATTCCACGACACTGCTGCGCGGTAGGAAAAACTTTTCTTAAGGAAGTTAGTGTTTGGTTTTGATAAGTGAAGTTTTCGTTCGTTACTTCTCAATGCATAATTGTCGTTCTGGGACATAGTAAACATTTCTGTTAAATATTTTGGTGTCATTTTGTTAATTGCCTAAAATGTCATTGTTTGTTCACGTTGTTCGAGGATTTTTGCAATGGGCTCCCAATTCAATCTATTTAAGATATCTGTTGATCTTATGTCATACCCTGAGTTAGTGATAAAACGTGCTGCTCTTTTTTGTAATTTACTTAATTTGTCAATGTGGGTGATATTTCCGTTGTGCCAAACTGTTGAGCAGTAAGTGAAATGTGGTAGGACTAGTGAATTGTACATTGTAATAAGGGCATTTTCTGTCAGAAAACTTTTTGCTCTTCTCAAAAGTGCAATGTTTTTTGAAATTTTTGCACATTGATTATCTATATGGTTATGCCAATTAAGTTGTTCGTCAAGAACCACTCCTAGGAATTTTTTGTTAGAAACTCTCTTTATCATATGATCTCCTATTAATATGTCAGGATCTGAATTTATTTGATTAAGCCTCTGTCTCAAAGCCGTAATTAGACACGTCGAAGTTTAAATGTTTCACTGACGTCGAATTTTGCATTCACATAAGTCATAATTCAAGCTATTGAATTGTGCGACACAATTAAAATGCGACGTTAGAAACTTTGAAGCAAGTTTAAATACTCCGTATTCGCGATCGTGAAAATTTTCTAGCACATTCAGTCTACTTTGTTTAGGAAAATAAACAGAAAAATTCCAAATGTGCTGGAAATCTCTGTGCTACGTGCAATAAGGCTTGTGAAGGGGGACTACCATCAGCTGTGGATTGTGGTGAGTGCAACCAACGGTACCATGTGACCTGTCAGCGACTCACAACTGACCAAGCGGAAATTCTGGAAAATAATTTAATTAAAAGCTACATCTGCATAAATTGCGCACGCCCAAATGATGATTTTGATTACGACTCGTCTCTATTGCGGCTAGAGTCAGCCGGTAAAAAATCGCTGGAAGCATTACATTCTGCGACGAAATTGGAAAGTAAACTCTTGGGGGATGGTCAGCAAATCGGTGGATCCGAAAAAGAAGTATACTTCCGTGGCGAGGAAGATGTTATATCTAAAGAAATTATTAGCCGATATGGTAAGAATATCAGTTTAAACATGCTTTTTACGCGGCGTTATTACTACATGGTCGATTGCACAACTGCCAATGCAGTAATTATACATGTTAAACTTTGTAATATACAAAAAATATTACTTGACTGTGATTGGTTGATTTCAGAGCAGTTAATCCCAAACAGCAGTGCAATTTTCTGTAATCACAGTGCAATTTTGTTTAATCACAGTGCAATTTTTTTATAATCACATTGCAATTTTCTGTAATCGCAGTGCAAAAATCTGTAACAAACTGATCTGATTGGTGGAAAAACAATGTGATGATAAAATCAACCAATCACTTTAAAGTAGTTTAGTTTAAAGAAATAACGTTCACAGATTGCTTCAAAACAAAACAAACATGGAGCCGCACTACATAAAGTAAAAGTTGACTTCGGTTGGAAAATATGGCTTTTTATCTTTTTTTTTTTAAATGGAAAAGCCTTTACCTTAAACAAGACTAACAAACATTAAATAGTCGAGTGGAATTTTCAAGCTGTTAAGGAGTGGTCATTATTTATGGGTAGCGGGGGTGGGGGATTGGTAAATGGGGAAAATAAGGATTGAAAACTTTTTTGACCCCCTCCAGGCTGAAAGCAGACTTTTCTCCCCCCCACCCCCATCCCTCAGCGTGGATTAAAAAATTAACAGGTGTGCGTTGCAGGTAAAGCTAAATATTAGGACAATCTGTTTAATCTAGCTTATGATGTTTTACCCTGGTGAGTATGATTCAACCATATGTGATTAAAAATATATATTACGTGTTACTACTTTGCAGTGCAACATTTGTCCTACCATACTTAAATGGCATTTTCAGAGTCTTCTTTACCTTTTTAGCGTTATGATTTGTGAGTCTATGCTGTTTGTGATTATAGAAATCAGAAATCTAAACATGGTATTTAAGTTCAAAATCTTTTTTGACCCCCTTTCTCTAGGTTAAAACGTTTTGCCTCTATTTATATAGGGGAAAAACTTCGTTTGCCCCTCCCCTCCCATTTACCAACCCCCCTCCTCATAAATAATGACCACTCCCTAACAAAGCCAGGAAAACTTTGCCAGTGGACGGTTCGCTGTAAACGTAAGTTAAAACTACAATTGTCTCGAACATTTTTATGTAAATTATTAATAAGTAATAGCATGGTTTTTCGTTAAATTTTGATAAACATGCACTCGTGAGTTTTTCAAAGATTTCAAATAGCACCACAGAAAGCCCATCCCATGTCTTATTGAAAGCATATGTTGAATGTACATAGTATTTATATAGCTCAGTGCTAAATATAAGGGCGCGCGGCCTGCCTGTTGGGGGCCGCGCGCTCTTATATTTAGCACTAAGCTATATAAAAACTATGTACATTCAATATTTGCTTTCAATAAGACATGGGATGGGCTCCCTGTGATAACAGGGGTCTATTTTTAAGTTTTAAAAATTCACGAGTGCATGGTATATCCAAATTGCACTCGAAACCATGCTATTACCTATGCAAAATGTGTAAAATAAAAGTACTTTTGATTTATTTCGTTTATTTATCTATTTATTATATTTGAACGTTGCTTTGAAAAATTATCTTTTCGGCATTGGAAATTAAATGATAGATTTATATTATTATTTCTAAGATCATACGCTGTTTGCATATCAGGGTCCGGGCGGTTATTAAGGATTTTATAAAAAAAGATAAATATGTGCAGGGTAGATCAAGTTAGGACTTCAGCAGATTTGATTTCATAATTTGCTCCAGCCATTATTCTTGCTACCCGGTTCTGTAAACGCTGGAGCTTATTTTGTGATGATTACACAAGCTTTTTGAAAATAATTTTGAAACAAATGATAGCGATATTACATTTATTAAACGACGTTTCGATGCTACAGCGTGCATCATTTTCAAGTTATAGTATTACATATATTGCGTTGATTTTAATTAAACCGTTCGTGTCACGTTAGCAAATTATTGCGTAAGCATGCAAAATTTAAATTTATATGACGTAATAAATTACATAAATTACATTTAAAAGAAAACATAAAACAGATTAAACATATTTCTGTCTTTCATAAATATATAACATGTACACAAAAAAACAACAACAAACAAACATACTAAACAAAACAAACATAAAGCCCATTATTATAGGACTAAGTATAAAGTTTTGAACGAATCGAGTTCGATTGAGTGTTCAAGGACGGCGATAGTTCCTTAATATACAACATTTCGTATAGAAGACACTCATACTTTCCTTGGCATTTTCGTAGAATTGAAAAGCAACCTTCAATTCTCGACGCATCCTCTTCGCGATCTTCCCTCATATGTTTCCCGATTACCGATCGCTTGTGCTCATCAATGCGCTGGTGTAAGTGCCGACTAGTATAGCCAACATAATCTGCATCGCACCACGGTTAATAGAAGGAGACTGGTTAGGCTAGCCGGCAAACTTCAAAGGGTCTCTGAAGTTATGTTGGGAACCCCAAAAATAAATGTCACGTGGTGCGATCCCTGCATCAACAAGGAGTAATACTAAGAAAACATTAAGAGATTTAGAGTGTTTTTATTATTATTATTATTAATCATCTTTATACAGGTTAACTTGTTCAGCTATTACAATAAATGCTGTTATCCTACAAGGACCTGTAACTATCTACATTAATCAATTATGATATTTTCTAAAAAGTTAAGAGAGATCTAGGCTAAAATAGATAAAAACTACTGACTAAGAGGAGTTTACTTTAAAAACGTCCAGTTTATAAGGATTTTAATTTTCCTTTAAATCTAACGATTGATTTTTCAGTTTTCATTTCTTTAGGTAGTTCATTAAATAGTTTGCATCCTTGGAACTTAAACGTCTTTCTGCCTGCTTCAGTTTTAATTCGTGGGACAATGAGGGAGCAACCATCCCCTCGAGTGTTCTTCCCATGATTGAGAAATGTGAAGAACTCATGGAACACGGGAGGAGAGGCTCGTTGAATCGCTTTATGAACATCCAAAAGAGTCTTTTGGTTGATTATTTCCGAGATTGATTTCCACTCAACATCAGTCTGTTTCGAAAGCACAATTTTTTTCCCCCGATCCTGGACTGATTGAAGTTTTTCTTTCAAATACGTTGGCAAACCAAGATACACTGCAGGACAATATGTAATAATTGGTTGGATCATATTTAGATAGACTCGCTCAGCTGCATAGGTGGTTAAATTGTGCCTTACTCGTTTGAGTAACTTTAATCTTGTAGAGGTTTTGTGATACACAGTACGAACTTGTTCGTGGAGAGTAAGATGGTGGTCAAGTAGTACACCCAAATACTTGTATTGCGTTGTTTGATTAAGATGTTCACCGTTGATCTTGATGTTGATAGGAGAGGAAGATTCTTTACCCAGTCTTTTGGCGGTCCCAAACAGGAGAAATTCAGTTTTTCCTTTCTTCAAATTTAGTGTTAGATGATTTTCCGACATCCATTTTGCTATCTTATTAACTTCTTCATTTAGGATAGTTTCCAATTGGGAAATGTTCCTATGACTAAAATATACCACTGTATCATCGGCATAGAGTAGAATTTTACATTCAGTTACTTCAGTATGAAGATCGTTTATAAGTAAAGCAAACAGCAGTGGTCCTAGAATGGAGCCCTGCGGGACTCCGTGAGTAATGGTTTTTTTATCTAAGAGCGTTCCTTTGAAATTTACAACTTGGGCTCGTGCAAACAGGTAACTTATAAGCCATTCATTTCTATATCTTTAATACCATAGGCTGGTAGTTTGTCCAGAAGACGACCATGGTTTACCGTGTCAAAAGCTTTACGCATATCCATAAAGACTGACCCAGTCAATTGACCTTGATCCATACCAGTTCTTACGTCATCTATCAAGATCGTAATAGCATGTTTCGTTGATCGATTCTGACGAAAACCATACTGATAGTTGTTAAAAAGATCATGTTCCTCCAAATACCATGAGATTCGATAATATACGAGTTTTTCTAAAACCTTCGAAAACACCGGCAGTGTGGATATAGGTCGGTAGTTATCAAGCAGAGTTTTCTCGCCAGATTTATAAACTGGGGTTATTCTCGCAACCTTTTCGGCACTGGGGAACTGACCACATTGGAGACTACGATTTGCCAAGATTACTAGCGGTTTCGCAATCTCCGTGGCTGCATCCTTGACAATTTTGGGTGGAATATTATCAACACCAGCAGGTTTGTACGGGTTTAGGGATTCTAGGATTCTAAGCACTTCCTGGTAACGAACTTCTGTAAAGTAAAATTCATAGTCCCTTGGGTTTATTTTTCTTGATAATCCATCCATATCATTATACTGCCATGCAGAATTCATGAAATTACACGTTGTGGTTTTCATCAGCGAAGGTATGTTGCTGAAAAAGTCACAAAAGGCATTCGATATTTTGCTTTTGTCCGTTATTACTTCGTTTTCTACTTTAAACGAAGTACTTGATGTTGATTTATTCTTGATTGGATAACATTTCTTGATTTGTTTCCAGAAATTCTTAGGGTTTAATTCATTTTCGTTGAAAACGGATCTCTCATAATTAGCTTTTCCCTTACGTATTGCATAGGTTGTTAGATTCCTTAATCTTCGGTAATGACTCCAGTCCTCAGGATTTTTTGTTCGTTTTGCCTTTCGAAGCTGGTAGTCACGTTCATACATCTTTTGTTTGATTTCCCTGGTGAGCCATGGGCAATCTTTACCACGAACAGTTCTTTCGACTAGTGGAGCATGTTTATTGATTATATTTGTAATGATGGTTTTAAATCCATCCCATGCAGTATTAAAATCATTATTTCTTGTCACGTTATCCCAATTCTGGCTTCGAAGTTCATTTTTAAACGAGGTAGCGGAATATTGTTTGTAATTGCGGGCAAATAATTTCCTTGGTGCATATTTAGTACAGTTCATTTTCCTTATTAACCCGATTAGATCATGGTCACTAAGACCACTATTACAAACAAAAGATTGGAGAATGTTCCTGACATGTGTTGTTAATACAATATCAATTAATGAGCTTGTTGTCATCGTAGTCCTAGTCGGTTGTGTTATCATTTGTTTGAGACCGTTTATCTTTATAATATCTTTCAGGCGACTATTGTCCGTTGGTTTAGAGTAATCACAATTTAAATCACCTAAGAGAATAATCTCTTTGTTCTCTTGTAAGGCGGTCATTACCATTTCGTTAAATGCCTCATTAAAATTCTTATTTAGATGCTCTGATGAGTTTGGAGGTCGATATGTAAAACAGACAAGGATTGACTTTGAGTATTTTACAAATAGTTCAAGCCAAACTGCTTCTATCGACTGATTTTCAAGATCTGTTCGTCGTTGAAAATTAATGTCATCACGAACGAATGCTATCACCCCGCCTCCTGCTCCTGAAGTGCGATCATGTCGTATACATACATAGCCATTAATTCGAACTTCAGCATCCAAAATCGTTGAATTTAACTTACTCTCTGTTACACCCAAAACATGAATATTGTTATTGAGACTGTCAAACATTTCCCGTATCATATCAATCTTCGATGCAAAATTTAAGCGATTTTTATACCTTTTTTGCAAGTTGAAAGCATATTTTTATGGATACACGGCGTTTATGGACATCCCACAGGAAAAATATCAAATTATAATGACTCAAGAACAAAAAATCGAACGTAAAGCACCGAGGTTGTTTGACACTCGTATTGAGTATGGCACGGTATGAACAGATCAAGCCAAAGCGAGTCTGAAATTTACCTAGAAGATTCTAAAAATGAAGACTATAATCTTGAAGTTACCGTGGCTGTTACGCAGGCTGAATGAGAGGATATATAGGACGAATTTAATGACGCTTTGAGCGAAATACATGGTGAAAAATCGTTCCCTTGTCCAAAGTGTGACAAATTGTGTACTAAAAAGTCTATTAATTTAAAGGCGGCTTAACCAGACACACGAATTCGAAGCCGATTGCGAATTTTCTTCCCAGCAATCATGACCAGAATTGCATATTTTTGCCACGATACTGTAGCGTCGTTTGTGGAATCGATCAAGTCGCAAATTATAAGAGAAAAATTGTATGGGGTTGAAATGAGCAACAGCGCCAAGACTGCATCATGCACTCAAGCTTTGTTTTGATGCTTTATTCAAGCTAAGTTCTGTTGAAACCTGACCAAGCTGAGCGTGAACCTTTGTCGTATGTCGCAGGCTATATAGTATCAAAACTTTTCCAGACAAATAAACGAAAGTACGTGTGGGGTGTAACACAACGACGAACTAAATTGTGCTTGGAACATGTCATCAAATTGTTGAGGAAGGTCACACTATTATATGCAAGGGACTATCTGAACAAGGAAGGGCCTGAAAAGATTAGCTATATCAGCAATATAAACTGTTGACAATCATGTAAATTGTGAAAATGATTGGAAACTATACATGTGTTATCATTTATACCACACTCTGACCTCGACTGACATTAGCTCTTGCAGCAACAATATGTAGGCTCCAAAAGTGCGAGGTGTACCAGATTACCAGAGTTACATATATGGTAAATGCTCTCGATTAGGTCTAATATAAACATAGATATGTATATTTTTCATTTGAAACTGCCATTTACAAAAAAAACTTCAACACCATACTTATGCCAATAATAGGGTGACAGAAGTTTCTGTTGATATTGGTAATTTGGTGGTGTACACTGGTCAGATACATATATGCTCTAACTAGTTTTTCACTTAAGCATTTTGACTATTGTTGGAAACCACTGTTTTGCAAAGTATACACTCTAGCAGTTGATACGAAAGATTTTTTAACTAAAGT